CTTTCCCTATCAATTCTCCTACTTCCCCTCACCTATAGATCCTATCCTTTATTTACACCAGAACCTGTAGCCCAGTGTTTCTCGAAATGGGCCTGAGGGGTACCTGCAACAGAATCCCCTGATGGCCTTTATTAATCACACAGTTTCTGCATGTATGAGGAGCTTTCTGGTTATTCTAATATGCACTAATGTTTTAGTCAGTGAACCCCTCCAGCTCCCTAATCCAGCTTGGATCTTTAAGTGTTGCACATACCTGCATTCTAGACTTCCAAGGGACTTATTGTCTGCTATGGCAGTCCCTGGATCATTTCCATTTTCTGTTTTCTCCACTCTATTACCACTTCTGATCTTTGCCTCAATAAATGTCAATTCCCTTTCTCTTTTCCTTCTCCAGCACACTTCTGGATGAGGATCCAAAATCACTTCTGTCCCTACTCTTACCTCTCTTTCTACATTTTTCTCTCTTGGGAAGGTTTCCAGTTCTCACAGCTTCAAACAAGATTCCCAAATATCTCCAGTTCTTCCTTACATTGTCTGAGTTTTGGTCAATAGCTTGAATTGTCTACTAGTTATTTCTTTTTTTTTAAATAAATTTATTTATTTTAATTTATTTATTTTTGGCTGTGTTGGGTCTGCGTTGCTGTGCACGGGCTTTCTCTAATGCAGCAAGCGGGGGCTATTCTTCATTGCAGTGTGCAGGCTTCTCATTGTGGTGGCTTCTCTTGTGCGGAGCACAGGCTCTAGGCACTCGGGCCTCAGTAGTTGCAGCACGTGGGCTCAGTAGTTGTGGCTCGCGGGTTCTAGAGCACAGGCTCAGTACTTGAGGCGCACAGGCTTAGTAGCTCCGTGGCATGTGGGATCTTCCCGGACCAGGGCTCGAACCCATGTCCCCTGCATTGACAGGTGGATTCTCAACCACTGTGCCACCAGGGAAGCCCTACTAGTTATTTCTAATTGCACATTCCACTGTCACTTCAACATTACTAAAACTAAATGGATCACTTTTAACCCTAAACCAAGTTCTTTTTCTCTCACTTTGATTATGAAGTAATACTGATTTGTTTTCATTGCAGGCTCTTCAGCGAAAGCCCTTGTCAGTTTAAAAGGTAAGAATCATAGCATGATTCTTTTAGGTATGACACAAACTAGGAATTTATTTCATTAAATTTATTTGGATATAATATTTCTCTTTTCTTTCTAAGTTATGATTCATTATAGCTTTTAAATATTGGTTTCCACTGATGATAATAAGTTCATATGGGGAGTCGGCCCTTGGTTTTCTCCCCCTAGAATTACTGATTAAAGAACTTTCTAACTAAACGTTCCAGACCTTTCTTACTAGAGTTAAATCATTTATTAAACAACTGGGCTAAGCTGTACTTTTACATAATTGTTTGTTTTTTAAGAATCTTGTCTTCTAAGTAGTAATGCAAGTCTCTTGAAATAAAAGAATGATAGTATTTTTTTCTGAGAAAAAGTTAGACATGTTCCTTGGTCTTGCTGTTTCTTTGTGTAAGTACGTTAGACCTATCCTCTTAATATAATTTATTTTGAGATTTTACCTCTTGAGCAAGATTCTACTGGATAAGTAAATTTGGAACCAATGTAGATCTTCTCAAAGGTTCATTAGTACTTTCAGTTTTTAAAGCTACTGTATTACACTTTGGATTGGTGATCTACCAAATTAAGTCCTTCTGGCTTGAGAACACTTATCTTCCAGGATTACCCTAATTTATTTGCCTAGCAGGATCAACCCCATCCCATCTCTTTTCTTTTGTACTTATTAAAATATATGTCTGAAAAAGTATTCCACTAATTTTTTTCTCCCAATATTAAAGCCATTTCTCTTTTTAAGAAAGTATATAGAAATGATATAAATTTTTTATACAAAAATTAGAAAATGCTTTCAGGTAATTAGAAGGAAATAAAACTATCTTGTGTATATTCATCCCAGTTTTCTATATCTCTCTCTAAATAAATGTATCCTTTTTGTAAACATTAAACTCGCCTTCTTTATTTTCATAACACGCTTAATCGGTAACTTGACCGGACTTTTTCTGGTTGCATACAACTCTGAAGACGTTTCTTTGAATTAAGGGAAAAAACCCCACATATTTCATTTTTGGATATCAAGTGTTTTACACGTTGAAGCAGAAATATGCTCTAAATTCCAGGTTAAAGGAGCTTTTCCCATTTTTCCTTGCCTGCTTTCAGTCAGATTGTACTGAGGTAGTTCTTGGCAAATAAGAATAGAGGAATTATTGAAAAACAAAATGAAATAAGCCACACATGTTTTAATATGAAAATGTAATACTTTCAAGTAGCATTGCCTTGTCAGATTATTTAGCGAGTTTGACAAAAAAAAAATAAAGAAAAGATTTTTTTTATTTGTAATAAACTAAAATTATTATGGTCAGTATATTTTTTCCATATTCGTAAATATTTCAGATATATTGCTGTTATTAAAAAGGCCATGTTTATAGTATGAAATCCTTTGAACTAAACTTAAATATCATTAATAATTATTTATTACAGAGGGAAGCTTATCTAACACATGGAATGAAAAGTACAGCTCTTTACAAAAAACACCTGTTTGGAAAGGCAGGAATACAGGCTCTGCTGTGGAAATGGTAAAGAATTAGTTTTTCTTACTCTTTAGAATATGATAGCTAAATTGTCTGTATTATTGTCACGTGCACATTCTTACAGCACTATAAAAATTTTCCAAGGGTTTTCCCCAACTCCAAGCATTTGTGTCATTAAGTGTCATTGAACAGTATTTGATCATACCTAGATAAATAATCTATAGCCTGTGATAATCTGTTCATTATTAAGCATTTGTTAAGTAATTGTAGTTTCTTTAAATAGGCAAACCCCAAAAACTCCAACAACCCGAAATCTTACTTTTAATATAGATTTTTAATAATTTAATAGATTTTTTTTTAATAAAAAGATTGTACCTGGCTCTGGTCCCTACAAAAAGGTATATAAATAAGTGGTAGGATACTGAAATCTTGTGTAAGTCAAGGATAAATGCATTTAGGGCTGGGAAGTAGAGATGAGCATATAATTGGCGTGACTAGCAATTTTCGGGGCCTCTCTTCCTCCCCTGCCCAGCCAGGTAGCCAGGAAATTTTAGGGGTCAATCATGAAACAAGCCTGGAGCTAGGTTAGACAGTAGCTGTCAGTAGCCTGGGCAGCTGGCCACACTGAGTATACAGGACTCTCCACACTGTTATCATTTCTGTCACCATCATTCTCTTCCTCCTCTCTGCCCATGGTCAGAGGAGGGGAGCAGGGTAGAAGGGACTTCCTGTCAGGGCTCTGCAGTGTTGAGACTCTCAGTGGGTTTAGTTTCACCGGTCCATACCTCTAGCCTTGACCCAGTTGGATGCTTCCCATATGTTGCTAGCCCGCTGCACCAGCTTCAGTTCTAAGTAGGCATGGAACTGTCTTGAAGGGTGGGAGAAGGATTTGAAAAATGATGTGGGTGCTATTGGGATATTATTTCTGTTGTTCTTCCCTATTAAGCCTCTGAACCTAGGATGGACTGTAAAATTTTTCATATTATAAATCCTTAAGTGTGTGATGTACTTTGGATGCTTAAAATTTTTTAGTTCTTCATGCACTTATTAAGTATCTGTTATAGGTATCTTGTATTTTTATTTGCAAATGGAAATTTGTCAACCATTTTTGACAGCGGATCTAGTATAATATTATATACATTTAGATTTACTCTCTAAAGTGATCTAGTAACTTTGTCCCAACCCAGCCCTATCCAATAGACCTATCAGGTGAAACACCCAACTGGTTGGTATTAATCCAAGCGCCAACATAATGAGAACTAGAATTTCCAGAGCTTAATTTTCCTATCTTCAACATTCAAGACTGCCAGTGTACTATACGAAGAAGACTTGGGTTCTAGTTTTAATTAACAGCTAGGTGTTTCATTTCTAAACAGATTACATACATATGTGTCTTTTCTGCTTTCTAAAATCTGAAATTATTTGTGTGCTTTTTATTACCCGTTCTTCATCCTTCAATACTGCTGATAATTTGGAGTTAGCTGTATTTTCCAAGTATAGAATTGTGTTTTGGAACAAAAATGGCAGGTGTTTGGCCTTTTCATTAAATAAAAAAATTTCTATCATAGCCTTTCAGAAATTCAAAACGAAGTCGGCTCTTTTCTGATGAAGATGACAGACAAATAAATACAAGGTCACCTAAAAGAAATCAGAGGGTGGCAATGGTTCCACAGGTATGTGTGTGCTAAAATTTTGTTTCATTTAAAGGAAGTGAGCAATCGCTCAGTATAATAAAGTTTATATTTATTGTTCTATGACATTTTGAGTAACAAGTTCTTTAAATCAGTACTTTAGCTCAGCTCCTATTTTAATTACCTAAAACAGGGCATTATTTTATTGATGGACTTTAAGCCAGTGTAGAAAGCCAGTCCTCAGTCTTACAGATGCACACTCTTCTTCTTTTTTTGGCCGCACCACAAGGCATGTGTGATTTTAGTTCCCCGACCAGGGATTGAACCAGGATTTTGTGCCCCCTGCAGTGGAAGCATGGAGTCCTAACCACTGGATCGCCAGGGAATTCCCATGCACACTCTTTTTTTAAGCATGGAGATAGTGGACATTCAGCAAATGGATTTGGCAAATTGGAATCAGCTTGGTGTTTGCATGGAAATCGGAGGGGAAAACTCATTTTACTTTGTCATTGAGTGAAGTATGTTGAAGACTTCCTTTACCCAAAAGAGGAAAATATAGAGCATGAAATCATATCTCCTTTTTCATTTTTGACATCTTTTAAAGAAAAATTATAGTGGACATGTAAGAATCAAAGCAATGAATGAAAATTAGGTAAGGAAGTATTAACTTTAAGAATACAATAATTTTCTCCTATGAAATGTATAATTTTTGATATAGTTATTCCCTACTTCCCATTCATTATTTTTCAAAAGTGTTACAACATTTTCCAGTAGGATGTATCACAGTAGAGGTAATTTTCTCAACCATGGATTTGGCATCAAATTAATTAAAGGTATTACCAGCAATATGCCCTTACCAAAAAAAAAAAAAAACCAAAGAACTTTTACATACCTTTATAATCATTTCAAATAGTAAAATATGAAAAAAAATTAGTAAAATATGTTCGTTCTCTGTAAAATTAACAAAAATATATGAACTTTTTAACATCAAGGACAAGTGTGCATTGCTTGGCTCAGTAGATGTCGGATACAAGGTTGAATGAATACAAGAATAGTCAACAACTATTTCTTGTATTGATTTTAGAAGAGCTGTGTTATTAGGATAATTTGGATGCTTTAACACTGTTTAGATTTTTTAAATTTCCAGAGGTGTGGATTTTTTTTTTTTTTTTTTTTTGTGGTACGTGGGCCTCTCACTGTTGTGGCCTCTCCCGTTGCGGAGCACAGGCTCCGGACGCGCAGGCTCATCGGCCATGGCCCATGGGCTCAGCCGCTCCACGGCACGTGGGATCTCCCCGGACCGGGACACGAACCCGTGACCCCTGCATCGCCAGGCGGACTCTCAACCACTGCGCCACCCTGGAAGCCCGTGGATTTTTTGTTAAGTTCTTTTTTTTCCCTCCAGCTATTTACTAGGAAAATTTTCAAACATACAGAAAACTCTGATCTTTGTGACCATGAAACCATCCTGCCCTAAGTCTATCCAAAGCCCTCCTCCCCAGGCGCATATCATTCCTTCTGGGACTATTTCACAAAGGCCTTTCTACTTGTGAGCAATACAGAACAAATATAACATAGGACAGACATGATATGAGACTTCTTTAACTATGTGAAAAAATTTTATATCCTCTGAATTTTCTCTTTTCTAGTCTTAACATGCCTAGTTCTTTCAATCTTCAGTTACATGATATGCGTTGTTCCCTTACTCTCCTAGTCACAGCCTCAAATCTGGTGTATTCTATCTGTGTGTTTGTTTAAAGAGCACTATTCAGAGCTGGAAAATTATTAAAAACCAACGTTTATTCAGTACTTAGTATGTGCCAGATCCTGTTCTAAGCACTTCATATGTATTACTTTGGTTTAATCTTCAAACCCCCCATGAGTTAGGTTACTATTTTCTTATTTCCCATTTTTCAGGTGAGAAAACAGACACAGGTTTTTGTTTGTTTGTTTGTTTTTTAATGTATTTATTTTTGGCTGCACTGGGTCTTCGCTGCTGCTGCGCGCGGGCTTTCTTTCTCTAGTTGCAGTGAGTGGGGGCTACTCTATGTTGTGGTGCGCAGGCTCCTCACTGTGGTGGCTTCTGTTGTGGCAGAGCATGGGCTGTAGGCCCGCGGGCTTCAGTAGTTGTAGTACGTGGGCTCAGTAGTTGTGGCTCTCGGGCTCTAGAGTGCAGGCTCAGTAGTTGTGGCGCACGGGCTTAGTTGCTCCACGGCATGTGGGATATTCTCGGACCAGGGCTCGAACCCATGTCACCTGCATTGGCAGGTGGATTCTTAACCACTGCGCCACCAGGGAAGTCCACAGAGAAGTTTCTTGTTCAAGATCACAAAGCTAATAAGTGAAAGCTGATACTAAATGGCAGGCAGCCTGTCTTCAGGGGCCTTCTTTTTTTGTTGTAGCTTTATTGAGATACAATTAACATAGCATACAATTTGCCTATTTAAAGCATACAATTCAGTCGTTTTAATATATGCACAGAGGTGTGCAACTATCACCACAACAATTTTAGGACATTTTCATCATCTCAAAATAAATCAGTAGCAGTCACTGTCCATTTTCCATTTGTTGGATAAACCCTTAGAAGTGTAATTGCTACAAGGGTATTTACACTTAAACTTTGAAAGATGCTACCTAATAATCTATTTATAAAAGTTGTAATAATTTATATTTCCACTAACAGATTGAATATATTTCCTCATACTCAACAGAGGAATCTTTAATACAGTTTTATATGCAATGAGCCACCAATACTCTATTTTAGAATTTGGGTCAATAACTCAGTAGAAATAAAAATAGCACTCTTTCTGATAATAATACTTTATAATAATTTGGTTATTATTTATGCTAAATGACTCATGACATACAATTTTTTTTTACATTAAAAAGTTAATTTTCTAAGTACAATGTGGTATCCTGAATTGGATTCGGGGACAAAAAAAGGACATTAATGGAAAAACTGGAGAAATCCAAATAAAGTCTGTGGTTTAGTTAATAGTATTATACGAATGTTAATTTCTTAGTTTTGACAAACTATGGTTATATAAGACATTAACATTAGGGAAAGCTGGATGAAGGGCATATGGAACCTCTGTATTATCTTTGCAACTTTTCTATAAATCTACAATTTTTCCTAAGTAAAGTTTTATACTGAAAAATAAAAAGTTAATTTGACCTTCACCTGCCCTCCAGATCTGCTTCCCTCTTCCACTGGTAACCAACCACTGTAGTTTGATTATCCTTTTAGATCTTTTTAATACTTCTAAACCTTTATATATGTATTCATAGAAAATATATGGTATTGTTTTATGTATGTAGTTTTAAAATTACATTAATAGTATTATTTTCATGATATTGTATCAGGCATCATTCTGTAATTTATTTTTTCACTCAAAAGTGTTTTTTTTTTGTTTGGGTTTGGTTTGGTTTGTTTGTTCTTTTGGGTTTTTTTGCCTTGCGGCTTGCAGGGGTCTTAGTTTCCTGACCAGGGATCAAACCCGGGCCCCCTGAAGTGAAATCAAAAGTCTGTTTTTGAGATCTGGCCATGCTGACTGATTTAGTTAGACACGCTTCAATATTTCATTTCTTTTTACTGTTTTGTAGTAGTCAATCTTATACCATAATTTATTTATAAATTCTCCTATTTTATGGGCATTCAAGTGGTTTCTAAGTTTTCATTATTACAAACAATGCTGTAGTGAACATCCCAAACATATTTGTATAAATTTGCAAGTGTTTTTCTAGGGCAGATGGCTAAAATGTGGAATTGCTGGATCACAGGATATGCACATTTAAAGTTTTTAAAGTAGTGCCAAATTATTCTCCAAAGAAATTGTACTGGCTTATACTTTCAACCAGTAATATATCACAGTGCCTATTTTACCTAATGCTTGTTAACTCAGTATATAACTAAACATCTAGATTTTTGCTAATCTCATAATAGCATCTCACTTGTTTTAGTTGGCATGTCATCTGTGAGTGACGGTGAGGTACTTTTCATATATGTTTACAAACTTTCTTTCCTTAGCTCTAAACTGTTTGTCTTTCTCCCGTTTTTTATTAGATTGTTGGTCATTTTCTTGTTAGTTTGTAAGAATTTTATATATATTAAGAATATTAGCCCTTTGGCTGTTCATACTGGTTATAATTTTTTTCACAGTTTGTACTTTGTCTTGTGCTTTGTTTCTATATTTTTCACCATAGAGGACTGAAAAAAATTCTAAAGGTCAAATATAGCTGTGTTTCCTTTTAATGACTTTTTGATTTTATGACTAGAAAGACCTTCCCTAGTCTAACATTTATAGTTTTAGAATTCTCTCTATATTTCTTATTTTATTTTTTTAAAAAAATGTTTAAATCTTCAATCCATCTAGAATTTATTTTGGAGTAAAGAATGAGGTAAGACGGCAGCTGAATTTTTTTCCTAGAGGACTACTTATTTGTCCTGGGTAACATTTACTGAACAATCCATCTTTTTTTTTTTTTTTTT